CCCCCGGTAATGGTACATGTTATATAACACATGTGATCTTTTTAGATTATTTTTCTCGATACTGTTATATACCACGTTACATGTTTGATATGTGTTAAGTGTGGTTTTCTCCCATTAGGACACATTTGACATCTGTGACTTATGTTAAAACGTTAACGGTTGACTGCCATGGCACATAATGCTGTTTGTGTAAGAGTTGCGTCCATTAATTTGTTTTAGTTTACATTTCATTATACATTGTAGCTCCGTGTCATGTCCTAAACCTATTATTTAAGCTCTGTATGGTTTAATTTATCCTTGAGTATAAATATTGTACTAGAAACAGACTTACATCCCACAGGATGTACAGACCGGAAAGGAAGCTGATTGTGTAAAACAGGAAATACCAGCTGAAAATAAAATTCAACAGAATTAGATATAATAAAAAAAAATGTGTATGTTTCTGTTCAAAAATATCATACGCTTGCTGGAAGTTTAAACAGTGAATACCATTTTATAAACGAAGAGAAAAGACTAAACAATGATGAACAATTTATATACATATTATATTAAGAATCAGTACGAAAAATGAATTAATATTTCTACGCATCGTTAACCTATATTACATGCTTTGTTAATGTGGTGCTGGAGACCAATGGTCCACCAGCATCAGCATTAGTCTACTGTTACAAACACCTATATAGCTGAACACGACTGGTCAAAGACAAATGTCTTTGTGTAGTGATGATAGCAGCTATTCGGTTTATTACTTGCAAACTCGGGAAAAATATTAAAAATATTAAAACCAAGAGGGCAAAATAAATCACTGGGTACAACACACGAGGACAACATATGCCAAAACGTAATGAAATAAAGACAACATATACCACAACGGCATCACACAAGGACAACATATACTACAACGTCATCAGACAAGGACACAATATACCACAACGTCATCAGACAAGGACACCATATACCACAACGTCATCAGATAAGGACACAGTATACCAAAACGGCATCAGATAAGGACACAGTATACCAAAACGGCATCGCACAAGGAAAACATATACCACAACGTCATCAGATAAGGACACAATATATCAAAACGGCATGGCACAAGGACAACATATACCACAACGTCATCAGATAAGGACACAACATACCAAAACGGCATCGCACAAGGACAACATATTCCACAACGTCATCAGATAAGGACACAATATACCAAAACGGCAACGCACAAGGACAACATATACCACAACGTCATCAGATCAGGACACAATATACCAAAACGGCATCGCACAAGGACACCATATACTACAACGTCATCAGATAAGGACACAATATAGCAAAACGGCATCGCACAAGGACAACATATACTACAACGTCATCAGATAAGGACACAATATACCAAAACGGCATCTCACAAGGACAACATATACCACAACGTCATCAGACAAGGACACAATATACCACAACGTCATCAGACAAGGACACCATATACCACAACGTAATCAGATAAGGACACAGTATACCAAAACGGCATCAGATAAGGACCCAGTATACCAAAACGGCATCGCACAAGGACAACATATACTACAACGTCATCAGACAAGGACACAATATACCACAACGTCATCAGACAAGGACACCATATACCACACCGTCATCAGATAAGGACACAGTATACCAAAACGGCATCAGATAAGGACCCAGTATACCAAAACGGCATCGCACAAGGACAACATATTCCACAACGTCATCAGATAAGGACACAATATACCAAAACGGCATCGCACAAGGACAACATATACCACAACGAACATATACCACAACGTCATCAGATAAGGACACAATATACTACAACGCCATCGCACAATGACAACATATACCACAACGTCATCACACAGGAGTAACATATACCTCGGCGTCACCACACCAGAACAACAAATACCAAAACATCCCCACATCAGGATAACATATAGCACATCCCCAACACATAACAATATAATATACCACAGCGTCAACCGACAAGGACAACATCGCGCCTTACATTCTGATATGGATATTTAATGAAAAAGATTAATGGCATTCAATTTACCTGAAACAATTGTCAAATCGATCACCCGGGTATGGTATATTAAGCATAACCTGCCCTGTCCAAAGGTTATAAGAAGGACAGAATGTGTTCAATGATAATGGATGACTTCATCAATTTGCAAGATAATTTGTCATCAACTTTAACAGGTTGGTTAAAATCAATATCCTTTACAGGCGTCAGTTCTATCGTAAGAAATATCTTTCTAGGGACACCCATTAACATATTTTTGTGTCTGACATTAAAGTTTAAAGCGCCAGTGTCATTAATAAGTCATCTACATTAAATATCTATGTCTCCCATTCGAATGAAGGGAAGGGGGGCATGCTATGTTAATACCCCAAGGTCAATTCAGTGCAACCTTTTCATTTGTAACTTTTAAACTGTTAGGGTAGCGTGATCATTCGTGTCAAATATAGGTATATGCTATTAAGGAGAGACAAGTCTTTTTTAAAAAAATTAAATTTCATGTTATACCTGCATTCCCTGAACTTTTTCATCCTGCCTGGCATTTCTCGACTGCGTCTGTGTCGGAACCATCTCTGTATCTGTCTCCCTGTCAGACTTGTCTTTTTGCCTAACTCCTGTCACAAGTATCAAAAACACATGGAATCATAATTTGTCATCAGTAAAACACCACCCGAAAAAACACACAGCTGACACGACTGCCACGTATACTTAGGGGCATGTTGATGCAGTAGGTCATGATTCATCTCCTGTTCAGTTGTTCTTAAGCTCATATAAGATGCTGTATATTACTAATTGCTTGTCTCTTGAAAAATATCGTTGTATATATTTCTGCCTTTTTAAGTGTACATCCACGACTTTGTTAAGGAGGATGAACACATGTTGACTGTACCGATACGATTTGGTAGTTGTGTAGTTGATACAGTATACCAAAAATGAACTACACTCCACCTTACATTAGTTCGTCTTTCTAGGACTCATAGGTGATGTTAGGGGCCAAAAGAGTTGAAATTCAAATCGATCTGTTGAAACATAGGGGAAGTCATAAAACCCCTTAATACTATGAATTACAACACATACAGGAGTACTGGTGAGTTTAAAACTAATTATGAATAATGTGTACATATATTATGAAACGTGCCACTACTCAAACGATATCATTGTAAAAACAGTTTTTCTCTTATTTATTCCAGGTACTAATACGTATTATGTGATTAAGCTAAACAAACAACCTATCTGAAGATTTGCTACGAGTGACAAGCGGTTATCATATCTAAATTGATCTGGGTTAATTGCTAAGAGTATACGATGTGAAAGCATCGATCCAGCTCACTGCATTGACTGTACATGGCAGGTTCTACCATGAACACACTTTTCAGAAGAACGTTGAGTAGGACGGACCTCCTTGGAAATAAGTTTTATGAAATCGGTTTCCTCTGACATTAGAATGATTTCAAAATCAGAAATGAATTCTAATTGTTCAAGCGGAATACAAATGCAATTAATTAACTACTCTCCCATTTGTATAGCATCCTTAATATTATCCAAGGAAAGCTTAACTGAGAACGAGTAATGGATGTCTAAGAATGCAACGAAGGCAAGCGATTTCCTCTCTATGCAATGATAAATTGATTCTGAAACTAGATGTGATGCCTCACTGCTCCCTCGATCACTACACTGACGTACATTTACACGACGATAAACACATTCCAACCTGTTAGGTTACGAATGACTCCCGTTGTGGAGGCCTCGGGTAATATAATGCCTGTCTAGCTATTTTATCAGTTACAACCATCGCTTGTCGATAAATAATATCACATTTAGGGGTAGATACTTTCATACCAACTCTCAAAAATAATGTTTATAACATACTTGGTTTGAGCAATAAAATCTACTGGTTTTGCTATTGATATTTGACTATTAAGGAAAACTATTTGACCAATAAGTGCAATAAAACGAATAAATTAGTAAAACCACGGTCCAAATGCCACTTTTTAAAATGTGTATTTTGTTGTAGAGTTGTCAGGGATTCCCGTGTTTATATTTGATGATTTAACTGCAGATAAAACAGGGGAAAAGACAGAATCGACGACACCTGCCATGCAAATCTAGGGCAAATCTAGGGCGATTCAGGTCAAATCTAGGTCAAATCTAGGGCAAATGAGTATTGAAAGAAGAGAAACAACAGGGCACACTAGTGAGCACAACCACATACTCCTACCTTAATATCATACAAGTATTATTTTCTAAAAAAATAGTCCAGATTATGATACAAATTGTCCAAAGTGTTAAAAACCTGCACCTTAAGAAATCGTGTTTGTAAATAAGTCCGTCAGTAGTCGATATTTTTCACGTAAATAACCATATAAGGATCACACTCCTGAATAGTTTGTTTTGGTTTAGTATTGTTTAACGTCCTATCAACACCTATAGTCATTTAAGGATGGCCTCCCCTGTGTGCAAGATGCATGTTTGTAGTTATGCGTGTGTGTTTTGGGAGGCTGCGATATGTTCGTGTTTGTTTCCTTGTGATAGCGCGGAACTAATGCCGAATTTATAGTGCTACCTAACTGAAACATACTGCCGAAGACACCCAGCAGGACACCCCACCCGGTCACATTATACTGACAACGGGCGAACCAGTCGTCCCACTCCTAAATTGCTGAGCGTTAAGCAGGAGTAGAAACTACCATTTTTACAGACTCTGGTATGTCGTGGCCAGGGGACAGAACCTCAAGCCTTCCTCACTGGGGCGAACGTTCAACTAAAGGCCAAAAGTGATGCATTGTCAAGGGAGACATAAGGAAGACGAAAGTTGTTTAGAAAGAAGAGAAAAGATAAGATCCCACATTTATTCGCCTCTTAATATCATGCAATGGGGGCAGCAGGTACAATTCTTACGCCCTATCGCAGGGACTACACTCCTGAATACTGATTCAATTACGACATGTTAACCCATAGTCTGGGGATATATCAATGTTACAATCAAGAAAGGGTATTTTATGATTGGAGAATCTATACCGTCCCTCTTATTGCACAGCTTTGTAGTTCATTCCCCCTGTTGGTCATGTTGTAAAGTAAAGGTGGAGATAAGAGTCTAACGTAGGGGAATACATAATGTGTTTATTTGAATACAGACAAGCAATGAAAACTGTAATTCAAGCTTTTTTATGTTTAAACAGCAACTGCTGTTTGACGTATAGAGCAGTGTTAATATTATATATCTATATTAATCAAGTTGATCAAAAGGAAAAATAAGAAGATAGTGTGAAGGTTATTGTTTGAGCAGTCAAATGTCAACATTAAAATTATATAAGGATTGTAGTTATTTGTTTTCAATTTCATGATAGTATGAGCGCAAATCAGCTACATACATATTCCAAGAAGCCAACTAGGGCTTTATGGTAAATATGTATGTAACCGCTTTGCGTTCACACATGTACTGGCATGAACATTAACACAAATGACGTTCAATTCTTATATTGACATTCTGTTCTGTTTAGTTATTATTGACCTAAACAAAGATACTTCCTTATATTTTCAATGTTAAATTGTCTGTGTCATCAGCCTGGAACAGCCTAAAGTCACTTAACTGCTTCTTTCTAACGGTTGTCTCGTGTCACTTGAGGCGGAAGGAGAAACTTGACGCAATTTCTTATGGTAATGCTTATAGAGGAACGTGCAGTGGAAATATACAATGTTCATAGAGGTTTTAAAAATATAGCCTTTGCATATTAAATGAATTAATTCATTTGAAATGTCTACCTACGTAACACCCTTTAATGGACCTCGCGGTGTAAACTACAAAGAAATAGCTGATTTCTTGCACTATTTTGCATTCCCCTGATTATTTGTATAACTAAACACGGTAAGCTCATCTAGAGTAGATAAAGTACTACTGTTGATAAATTACCACATGCACCCTAGAGAGATACTTAATTAACATATCAAATGGAATAAAGTGGTTATAGTCTTACGTTTAATGGATACATTGCATGATTATATGAATTAAATAACCTTCTATTGCAATGCTTAGTTTGGACCAGATACGAGTTCACTCCATTACTTAATGCAGATTAAATTGCTCTTGTTCCATGACAACCATTATTTGTCTGTGAAAAGCATCCTTGTGGGAAGGCTTTTGATTGTTTATAAAAACAGAATTGTCTTCAAGCTCCGTTGGAAGAGCGGAGAAACAGAAAACTAAGGTTCGCTTGTTTGATCCCCGGAGAAAGCAGTGGTTGACACTACTTACTGTTATAGAATGGTATATGACCTAATTTGTGGTGACAAGATGTCATATAACCTGGCTTTGGGTCGTGTTCGAGGGCAAGCACGATTTAAGGTAGAGTGTATCACTGCATCAATAATAATGGCGAAGAAGAGTTCCGTTCAGAGAATGATTTTTACCTGGAGTATTATCTTATCTATTAAGAAGATGGAACAACCAAAAGTAGTTTACCTGGCTTAGGGTAACGTACCTTGTCAAGTTGTTAAAAGGCATTGTGGCGAATAAACGTGAGGCTTCATTAGTAAAATGGAAACTTTGCAATATGAAGGTTCTGAGTTCGAGTTTCTGCTGTTTTTCTTTCTTTCTGTTTCATTTTCAAACGTTCCTATTTCGAACTACAATGATTCTGTTAAATGCATCGATTTATTCAGGACTGTTGTTTGGTTATTGAGCGAGAGCGTCAACCGATAAAAGGTCGACTTTAGCTTCAGTGATGACATACTCACTCGGCAAGCAATATATAAACACACACCCTTACAAACATAATCGTCTTGTTGATAGCAACGTCAAGCTATCGGTGACAAACAGAGTATCTCGTGACACCTTAGTGCCAGCACATAATGACATTAACAGTACGTTCCAGGTACGTAACACAGTGCTGTGTAAGCATGTATGTTCAAGTACCTAGCGTGTATTTTAAATTAGCAATTCAGATCCTGTTGTAAATGTGAGATGCGTTATGAGTGTTAATGTGCCACACATTCATGTGGTGCACTGTTCGGTCCCCGTTATTTCATGCTAAAATACATCCGTTTGCTTACATTCCAACGCTCCACAGAATCTACCTGTGTAGTACATCCTTATCCGACACATTGGCAGGATTCAACTCAGTAACATATTCGTATATTACTTAGTCCGCATTGGATATAAAAGAGTGACATATACATTTCTCAAATAATTTCAAAGGTTTCATCAATGATTCCCGCGGAAAGATGTTTGCTTGTTCAAGCGGAATAGTTAGTGAATGACATTTTGAATAATGTATTGATCAACATATGGTAAATATGTGTCCCCTAACAGAATATCGATATTCTGTGATAATCATTGTAGTGGTGATGCGGGATACTGTATCTATGCTAAAGTATGAATAATTATTCCTTGTTTGATTCTGTATACATTTAGCCTATTGCTAGGCAAGGAATGCTACAACTCGTCCTTTCAAAAGAACCTTCCCCCAGACCGTCCACCAGACTAAGGGATGCTGTGGTTACCATAGTAGACGGTATTGTTTGAGGATGTTTATCTCGATGTATCCTTAATAAATCTATAAAATCAATTTCCCTCGGTGGGTGTGAAACCCATTGTTTATATCGAATTCTTCCTCATACCGTTGGGCTTGGATATTCTAAATGATAAACCAAGCGTGGACTTCCTTTTCTGGTACAAAAAAACCTACGCCTACGTATATCTCCTTTCATTCAATATTAAGCTTCCGAATAATGTTTTTGATAAACTTGTCCTGATATAAGAAATATAACAGTGCTGGAGTTTTATAGACGATGTGTTGAGATTACGCTGCTTAAACTATTTGCTAGGAAGCTAACCAGGCTTGAAAAATAGAGTAAAGATAGCATTCATTCTCTCATGACATATGAAAACATACCCACTTGTTAGCATCCGGTGGCGTCGTTTATATCCGTGGGTTCATTGTAACAGTCGACACTGGTATCAAATAGATCCCACTTAATCAAGCCCAATGTGAACGAAATGTCACACTCATTGTCATACATTCTTTTATTTTTATTATTTAATTTTTTAATCGCAGGGCCTTGCTGGTAAAATTGAACATAAATATAACTAAACATCAACAAGCGTCAATATTTACAAATGCTAAAATGTGTCTTATATTAGATTGGTTATTATTTTCTATGGACGACTTGACCGTAGTAGAATGACGTTTATACTTGAAAATTCTCCAAGTAAAGAAAAAGAAAAGAAAAAACATTGCCAAGAATGAAAAAAGGCATTTACATGAACTGAGGAAACATTGTTTAAAATAAATGATAGACCCCCACCAACGACAATAGAACTGGGTGCTTCAAGATGGTAGGTATTTCCAACACCACATGTGGGCCTCATCAGAAACAGCTTTTGAATTGATTGTAGTTAATCAATTTAATCCAAACGAAAGAAAAACATGAAAACCATTTTTTTACACGCAACACAGTACTTCAACCGGTCTCATTATACTGACAAAAGGTAAAGTAGCAAGAAATATCAACCACCATTTTAAATGACTTTGGTATGCCCGGCCTGCGCACAAAACCAATTGCCAACCCCAAATTTAACACTAACCAAAAGCGAGGTATTGCCAAGCAAGGCGATAGGAAACAGAAAGGTTGTGTAGAAGAGAGAAACGATAAAGATCAAAAATGTTGCAATGTGGGTAGCAGATTCTTCAGGGGCCCCACATCAGTCGCCTTTTACAAAATGCAGTAAAATACAGCAGTCCTATTCTTTCCAACAACCTGCTGGAGGAACTTATTTGGAACACCTGGTCATACTCTCCTTGTTCTTATTCAAAGGTGTCCATGGTGAATATATCCTTTGTTTTTACTTTGTCCTAGTTTAAGCGGATAACCGAACATATTTCTCTTTGAGACTTCGAAAAAAGTCTTGAAGACTTTCAAAAGTCTTGCAAATATGACCTGAACATGAACAAGTGTGACTTTCACATTAATTATCTTTCATGTCCTGCTCGTAGAAACAAAACAAGAAAGAGACCGTGAACCCATCCACAGTAACCGGAAGTAACGTAAGGTGGCTAGAAACGACGAGAGTTTCTTTGATACCCGGGTGTTGTCTCCCGTCAAATTCAAGAAGTGACAGTGACATATGAGTGTTAAATGTCGCAAATGTAGGTTGAACAATCATTGTAAGATAACCCAGTCTAAGTGAAGCAGAAAAAGGTTTGCATAACTTCAATACATTAACTGTAGTTTTCTCCCACATTAGACAGAGATATCCGCATTTCTGTCATAGAAAGATATTTCTGAAAAGACGGGGTATTTTCCTGTCATAACCATTGTATAACGTGAGCCAATAATGCAATGACGTCACGTCAAAATTAGCAGATCACGGAAGATGACTTTGTTTTGCTGGAAACTATTATGTCAACGTTTGCATTTCATTAAATTACCATTTGAAATTGATGTGGGAGAAAATAATCATCCCCAACTTTTGGAGTAAGACAAAACATCTCAATCTTCGGGTCAAAGCCTCTAGCTAGACATTAAAGAATCTTACCCATTGGGTTATGAGTTTTTGTCTTACCCCCGAGGTGGAGGAAGATTATATTCATGGCAAAAAGTATAGAACATAAATCGTAGAACAGACTATTGAGTGTTTTTGTGTCTTTAGTGTATTTACATACAAATTGGAGACTGGTCTCATACTACCAAGAAAAGGAAAGTTCAATATCAGCGTATTTAAAGATATCAGGAAATGTCATAAAAGTAATGCTTTATCATCGATTACCTCCGCATATGTTTGGTCGTTGTACTTGTCAACAGCATACGCAGCTTCTAGAGTCGGATTCTTCTCTATGGTGTACTGCTTCTTGAAGTTCAGGCCGACACATAACGCAAAGGGAACCACCAATATCCTATTAACAAAGCGCAAAGTCTGAACGGACAAGTAAATCAGGTGAAACTCAGATAAGACATGAATTATTGTCACTATTCTGTTGCTTCAGAAATTAAGTTATTGATAATAAAACGTCTATAGCAGTGGTTCAGTTGATGTCTATATCTAGTTAAGTGAGTGCGAGGTGTTGATATCATTTGCCTTAAGTTTGCCACCCTCAGTCAGCGATGAACCAAGCAAAATGATCATAAATTAAAAGGAATATAACAAGATAAAAACTGTATCGAATGCTGTCGAACACATACATTTTTTTGTCAATATGGAATTAAATATAAAACTTACATGGATTAATAATCACATTTTTAATATTCCAGAAGGTCATATAAAAAAATTACTGAGTGTGCTTGTGAACTGTGATAAAAGCATCTCAAGGTGTCCCTTGAAAATGACAAACCATGAATATCGAAGATGTACTGTTATCGTACAGGTCGTTTATTGTTTATATGTCAAATGGCTTAACAAGACAGTATCTGTAGACTACCAATGTTGAAAAAAAGCAAAATAAAAACAGTAAAATTAAACAGAAACGTCAACAACATTGACTAAGGATTATCAGACAGACACGATGAACCGAACAAAACCGCTGGAGACCGAATACGGACTTAAATATAACATGAAATTAAGCGTATACCTACCAATCATACACCAGTCGAATACCAAGTAGAATAACTGCAATAGCAATGCTTGGGAGGAGAATGTCTCTTCCTAAAGGATAATATACACCAGGGGGTGGATTTTCGATTTCGTCCCATGTTGTGTTGTGCAGCCAGTGGTCAGCTTTCCAGAACCACGAACTAACCTCCTGTAGCATCGCCATTTCTGATGTACCAAGTAGTCTCAGCCTGTTAACTTTTAAGGTCTCGTCACAGGACGCTGACATATAAATCATTCATGTGTGTTCATATGTGTGAACGCTACTCAATGCTTCCTTTACAATTCATCGTAGCGTCATCTACACACCACTGCGCATGCAAACAGGTAAACAACACGTGGTTGATGCAGACAAAAAGCATACTAAGTAAATGTGTAATAACAATTTTCCCAGCCAGAGTTGTCTGTTATTTTGATCTCGTGGATTATAGTAAACAAATCATACGGTATCTAATTTAAACGCAGTGATCATTACAACACCATGCAAACCGATATCTAGTGAAATGTGAGACACAGCAAAACAAAAATTAGAATCTTGATATACCCCAATTGTTCGTAGTGGGGTTTTAACAGAGCTTACAATTCTACTTTAAGTGTCAGTAAAATACTGAAACCAGATACCGTGATGGCTAGAGCTGGCAGCTCGTGCTGAGGGACAAACCTAACGACAAACTGCCGCGCTTCGCTAGCCTTATAGAATTTCAATTTTCACATTATACATTAGAGTGATAACTGACACTGTATGGATAGTTGTATCCGGCTTTGAGTACATATTTATAGTGTGTAGGTAACTGCCATTTGCATTTAAAGATAATCATAATAGCATGCATTTCTTGTTAAGCCTGGGAATGATTTATACAACAGAAGCAGCGTTATGAAGTAACCTCATTGCGTTCAGATATAATTTAAAATGACGTTGCGAGTAGCTGTATGCTAACCAGCAGCACATAGTTTATGTGTGTAATATATGACTGATTTCCTTTTGAATTTCGGGCAGAGACAGTCGTGGCAATGTTGATATGACACTGGATTAACAAAGTACACGGCCAGGGTATTTTAAACCCCCCGGAGACCTCGGGATGGTAAAGTTACGCGACAAAGTGTTTGAGAGTAAACTTGTTGTCAATGGCAACACCATCTGGATTTATATTGTTGTTGTTCTTATTTGTATGGTTGTGTCTTTAAAAGATGTTTCGAATATAATAATGATAACAATACGACAGTAGGCTTAGTTGATCTATGGCTTATCCGACACATTTTAAAACTAAAAATTAAACGAAAATGAAGCTGAACACATATTTGGATTGGAACAAAAGTAACAATCGTTGGTTAGTGGTGATAATTAAGTCTTTTATTTGAAAAGACGTTTGTTTCATTATGTCTAGAGCAACGCCCACATATAAAGGTCACAGCACAGTTTTAGAATATTTATAATGATATTGATAAAACGCCTGTTAAATATCAATACATGTACAAAACTACAATACGGTAGACTTGAATACACCTCCTGTCATTTGGAGCATTTCTGTTCTTATGCTCAATTGTTAGCTACGATAAAACCTGTATGTCCTTCTATTCGATAACGGTGACAACATGGAGTGAATATATGAGGAAATTACAGTTATAAACGGCCTTCTTATACATTTCCATAGAATTGTTATATAATTATAAATAAGTATATTCCTTGATTATTTCCAAACTGTCCAATGAACACGTTTTTGCTACTATGTTACTGATACATTCAAGTGGGTTTAATTTGCTGACTTTAAAAAACGATCAAAAAGCAATTTAGTTTTTCTCTTTGATTTTACAAGATTATATGATTGTGTTCGTCAAATGTGTAACCTATGTACGCGGTTTGTTATATAACCCGTTGATCAGATCTAGAATTAAATGAGACATATTGTATGCACACGTCGATAACACGGGCAACCTGTAGACATCGTACACACGTTTACAAACTGAAATACTTTGTTGTGTAACTGTTGTTAAACATTTTTCCAGGTAGGGAGGAAACGCACTTGTGAGAACAACAATTACCATTGTACAAATCTATGAACGGTCGGAAATCCTGCTGTGATATTTATAAATAATAAATTCAAATTAATGTGTACAATGTATCATCCACTGTTTTCCTCCTGTAATATAAAAACGGAAATGAGACGCATCGATACGCTTTGTTCAGTATAAAGGATTCATATGTGAGTGTACATGTACAATACAATTTGGTCATATACACAACAACAATACGACACATATCAACTTACTATTCTACAACTGACATGGCTATTTACATTAATAATAATATCTAAGCGACGAAATTTTGCTGGGTCATTCAAGTAAACTTTGGAGAGAGGGAGGGGGGGGGGGGGGGGATAAGAGGGGGAAGGGGAGTGGCGGAGATAAAGTGGGCAGTGAAAGGTATAAAAGATGTAAACTCAGGAAGAGGTCAGATCTATCTGTTCTTTAACCGTTTACTGTATTCTAACAATTATTTTGAAATCAACTCCGTTGTACTGAATGATTGAGCTTATCTGCTCGTAGTCAAAACATGGCAAGCTGCCTGGACGCTGCAAGGGAAGACGGGATATATTATAACTGTGAAGTGATTTCATTGTGAGGATTAACTTTGTGATGGTTTAATAGTAACGGGTTTTTTACGACACGAATACCATTTTATTGCCATTCACAAAAATCTACTTTACAGAGCGGGCCTGTGTATTTTCGATATAGTACAGTCTTTTATATTTCGTAGATAGATAGATACGGTTTATGTTCATGTGTTGTTGTATATAGATAGGGTATGCTGGAAACGGAAAGTGGACCATTGAGTTCTGAACTGTACTACATCTAGGCCTCTTGTTGTTCTGGCAACTTCATGGAAGTTGGTCTATTAAATGTTACTGAACCTAATAAGGAAGAATCAGGAGAAAAGGAAAAGAAGAAGACGAATATTGAAATCAGACTAGAAACTTAAGTATATTTATGTAACGAACATATCATAAACAGCTAAACAATTAGAACTGGTTGATTTGATAAATAATTATTTGATATAGCAATTTAGCACATTCACCTCCACATGAAAGTGCAAACTGCACACTCTTCTTTCGAACCCGCTATGTTGTACACTGGAAGCTTCTTATAGACAATACAGGTCATACACCAGCCTGTAAATTATCTAAATCCTAATTTCAATAAATATATGGAATAATATATTGAAAAGCGATAAGTCGGATAATGAAAATAATCTTGATTGGCTGGCATTTATTCAGTACAACGTGGGACCCATTTATACGATTGTTCACAATAAGACACGGTCGGCACTCTGTCAATTGCAGAAATATCTCCAGAATCTATTCAATGTCTAACATCCGTTCTTCTGCAATGCATCAATAGTCTGAAAGCCTGTCGCTGAGAATACTGTTTATGCTTTGGATAAACCATGTCGATTAACTTTGGAGAGAGCCCGGTAAGTTGTGAGGATTTCTGCCCAATCACTGTATTGGTTTCGTATAAAATGAGGTTTTAATGAAGCACGTCACTTGCATGCATAGCTGAGAATGACATCTTTTATTTTGATCAAATAATCTAAGGCTCTTTACTTAGTGTGTTCACATTTGTTTACATTTGGACATATTGAACTACTCCTAAGGTAATTGTTGTTAGTTAAACAATCATTAAAAGAAAGGACGAATAATTATGTGTTGAAATGTGGGTTTCAAAATGATGTTTGGACATGCATGCGTTCAACTGGGTTCCGTTTATATATATTGATACATCAACTCGATTCCTGACGCTAATGTGATGATTAAATATCGATTCAGAGTTTAATTACACCTCGTTCTTTTGTCTTATTAATTTTGTATTTAATATCTTAACTAAAAATCACTTATACTATAATTATTCACCTCTGCAATGAACATTATTAATACTCATTACTCATGTCACCGCGTGACAAGACATTAACTGATCCTCGACAATAATTCTTCTAGTTATTGTAGGTCTTCCATCACGAATATCGTCTTCTAATAGATACATTCAAGTAACCAATTAACACGCGTTTTAACAGAGAGCTGTTCTTCTAATTAGAAGAATTTTACAACGTAGAACTGAAATATCATGGGACGTAATATTTCACCGTCCGAATTAAGGGAAACAATATATCGCAATCCAGGTACTCGTATCAGTACAATATGATTTGTCTATAAGACTATAGGGTGGAATTCGAGGCATGGAAACGTCACGTGTCATAGCATTGTCTTCCTTCGTCACTAGTGTTTCTATGTTATCATTATTATAATATTATATATTTGCCCAAGAACTGCAGTGTTGATGGAAGGTCAGATATATCTTGGCTGAATCAAAACTTTATTTAATGGCAACTGTATACTATCTATTGAAGGTACTACTGTGGGCATGGGAAATAAGGAGAGAACAATAGAAAATTAAATATGGTATCATATTGTGTATGGTGGTGTACATTGGGATTGACTGCCAATTTAATGAGTCTGTTTGAATGACACTATCATGTATTGATATACCTTACATGTTTTACACAAAGAATCCGTATCGACTTGCTCGTTTTCATTTTCTACATTCCACATTTCTATAAGCCTACATTATAAATAATCTAATGGCTAAAATCCGCTAGGGAATAGGTATCAGAATGCTGTTCGGAAGTACCTTGGTCCCCCTAGTGTACTGTCTATATTAATTGGCGATATTATCCGAAGTTGTACGAATGTATACCGATGTACTCAATTGTCATTCAATAACATTTCATTTAAACAGCTAAACAACAAACATCAATCTACATCTTTTGGGAGTAAATATATACTCGACCTCATCGTTATAGCCTCTTCATCCCCAAGTCGCGGTTTTGTTCAAATAACGATTAATACAAATGTCTTTAATCACGGATATCTAATACTTAACTCATGATCCAAAATTATTCAATGCTCGACTGTACTTTATTTAAATATCAATAACAAGTTGAAACTAAAATTGAAGATTTATAAATAACTATATGTAAAAATGTAGCTTATTTGATTAAATTGCTGACACCAGTTATAAACAACTGTAGAATTTGTTTTTATTGACTTATTACTAATACCAGCTTTAGATAATTGTAGAATGTTGCTTGGCGTTAACTCATTATTCACACCATTAATGGACATTTGTACAGAGAAGGCAGCTTTGCATTCATTAAAGTTCATTACACGGTTTTGTTTCTCGTTCCTAAGGTATGACGGACACCAGTTGTAGATCATGACAGGGTGTTAGAAGTGTGATTTCGTGTTCATTCATATCTGACACCGGTATCCCATATACTATCAAGTTGTTCCTCTACACTTTATTACTGTACAGTATAGTTGTCTTTTATTAACGCTACAGTTTTGGCAATAACCCATTTGGTCGTCATACTGCACTGGACGTGTACTAGTGTCTACATGTATTTCTCCTTTCAACTTGAAGAACTGCACGAGAGACTTGCAGCAATTAACGTTCCCGATGATTTTCCTAAATATTTTGCTGTTGCAGACGTGATGATCGTACATATTGGTACGTTCATCTTATAATAGCGAGGAATTTACAAGATGGATTTATTTAAAGCGAGCGCAGCGAGCGCTGTTTATA